CAAGTTATGGGCAGATACCCCATTCAAAAAGAAGGTTTCGTGATCACCAAAATTAACGCACCCGATGGACGATGGAGCAGTTCCACGAGACACTGCTTGGACTTTCCGAATAGCTGATCGGACGAAGACCGGTAGTCATCGGAGGAGACTTCAATGCTTAGGCAGTGGGGAGTGGGGAAACAGATGTAGGTACCAACGCAAGAGGGCACATTCTGCTGGAAGCTCTGGCGAAGCTGGAAATTAGGCTGTTCAATAAAAGCACCACCAGCACTTTTCGCAGAGATGGCCGGGAATCCATTCTCGACGTCACTTTATGCGGACTGGAGGAGACTTCAATGCTTAGGCAGTGGGGAGTGGGGAAACAGATGTACCAACGCAAGAGGGCACATTCTGCTGGAAGCTCTGGCGAAGCTGGAAATTAGGCTGTTCAATAAAAGCACCACCAGCACTTTTCGCAGAGATGGCCGGGAATCCATTCTCGACGTCACTTTATGCGGACTGTTTTTTTTTTTGTGATCTGAAAATTTTCCCAGTTTGGTTAGAAGTTTCGAAGCTAACGCATGTCCACAGGCCCAATAGAAAGATAGGCAGAAAAAGTGTATCATGAAGAATGGTTGCATGCAGGGTTGCTTCCACTCACTTGCTATAGGTGAGTGATATTCGGAGTTTTAAATTCGTTAGATGTTGTAATGGAGATTTGTATTGTTGGATGCGGAAGGAGATTGGAGGGCGGGTGTTTGACGCATAGAGCCTGTCAATTTCGATTTCAGAGTGCCGCAGTCGGCGGTTTTATGATTCGTGAGCGCTCGCGATTCGTAGAATCGTTGATTGTGACTGCAAGTGGATTTGGCGGGTTTTGTGTGTCGGACGCTTGCTTTTTGGCCTCTTCTTGTGTATAACATGTGCAGAGTATCATTATAGCGTCTAATGGTTTTAAAATTCCTGGTTGCGTGAAATATATTTGTGAGAATATCTTTTTAAGATTTTAGTAGTCACGTTTTGTTTGTAGTTTATATTTTATCTCTTTCATGTAATTATCGTAAATAACAGTTATTCAATAATAGATAGTTCATCCATATATTCGTACTTTGACGCAAAGCGCTGTGGATTATGAGATGCTCGATGACCCTGGAGGGATCGATTTTGCTTACTGAGCAAAAAATCATGGGTTTAATCCCAAGCTCTCCATCATGACTCTTAAAATTCATGATCACTAAACAAAATGAATATGTTCTTTCGATAGCCGGCTATCGAGAAATTAAATAAAAAATATATACTTTTGGTTGCCTTTTGGTCTTAACCGAATACCCTACCCAACCCTCCAACTCCGTAGCACTTATGAGGGTGTCGCTAAGTCGGTGGCCTCTTGGTAAGTAAGTACTACATCAACATTTCCTTCCCTATCCCTAGTTATGGTAAAGATGGGCGTGGCCGGATGGGTGTCGCTAGTATCCAATCTACGAAGTATATCATAACAACGCTAAAGATGCAGTCCGTCGCAGGTGAAAAACATGAATTGGAGAGTGTGTGAATACCAATAGTGACCATCAGGCAATCTGATATGGCATCGGACAACGGAATCCTGTGGCAGTACAGAGGACGAGAACTTGCGACCTGAAGTGGAAGACGAGTTGACAGAATCGTTAGGGAGAGCATGTGACACGACCATGCCGAGGAAACTGGAGCTAAATAACAGACGGCCTCCAGCTTACTGCTGCAACGAGGCAATTAGCACCGTCCGCGCTAGTTGTCTCAGAGCCAGAAGACGTGTTCAGAGAGCAAGAACAGAAGCAGACAGAGAGGAACGTAGAGGAATGTTCCGAGCACATCAACGAGAGATAAAGCAGAGCAAGTCAAACTGTCAACTGGAGCTGGGTTGAGACGCTGCTGCCAACGACGCACACTGCGTCGTGATGACGAAGATCATATGTCAAGTCATGCCCGCTGAAATTTGCTAAGTTAACCTGAAAGTCATCGTGGAAGGACTTTTCTCGAATCACGATCCAACGATCTGGCAACCTACATCGTACGGAGACGGAGAGGGAGATAACGACGAAGTCACCAACAAGTAACTCGTAGCAGTGCCTGCTAGATACAATCGGAAAACTCTTGGATAGGATCATCCTAAACAGGCTGAATAAATGCACGGAAAGTGAGCAAAGATTGTCGGAGAGGCAGTTCGGATTTCGAAATGGAAGAGCAAAAGTGGATACACTTCGGACAGTTGTCGAGAGAGCCGAGAAGGTGTCAAAACAGAAGTGGAGAGGAGATCGATATTACGCTGAGATAACGATCGACGTCAAGAATGCGTTCAACAGCACCAGCTGTGAGGCCGACGCTACTTCCTGAACCGGGTTCTGATCTACGAGCCAAATATGGGACAGAGATCGATTAGAATCACGGTGAGAATTCCACAAGGCTCCATCCTGGGTCCAACGCTCTGGAACGTGATTTAAAACGGTCTAACGCTGAAGCTACCCAAACGATTTGAGATAGTTGGCTTTGCGGACGACGTCGTCTTACGGGCAAGACGCTGGAATAGATGGAAATTTTGGCGACCGAGGCGGTCGACATGATTGGAAACCTAATGCATGAAGCGAAGCTGCAGATAGCCCACAACAAAAGCGAGGTGGTATTGATCGGTAACTTTAAAGCGCTGCAGCGGTCAAAAATTACCGTTGGGGAGCACACAGTAAACTAGAAGTGCCTGTTGAAATGCCTGGGAGTGATGGTCGACGACCGTTTGGCTTCAATAGCCACGTAGAATACGCCTACGAGAAGGCAGCGAAGGTCATCAATGTGGTAGCCAGAATCATACCGAACATCTCTGGACCAAGCAGTAGCAAGAGATGGCTCCTGGCTAGTATATTTACTTTGACACTGAGATATGGAGGTTCAGCCTTGGTTGCAGCGCTGAAAACCAAGCGGAATTTAAGGAAACCGAGCAGTACTCAACAGGCTCAACAAACTTTTCGAGACGTTTGGTGTACCCTTTTTTGTAAGAATAGTAAACAGATATTAGTAATTCCATTAATAGTAGATAAAGAATGGTCAAACTTGATTTCAAAATCATTTTGATGGTTAAAATATTGATTTGTCTGCTTTCCGTTTTTGTCAGCCTAAAATTTCAGATGGCGCTGACAAAAACGGGAAAGTACTGTATATAGATAAACATTATTGAAAAATTTATCATATATTTGGCACTTTCATAAACCGGAAATTGCCATTTTGGATTCCAAAATGGCGTCAATAATCGATTTCTGGCCTCTATACGTCGTGTCCATTTAGAAAATACCTATAATGTAAGGTATTTGATAGTTTTTTTCACAAACCGAAAGTCGCCATCTTGATTTCAAAATGGTGTCAATAATCGATTTCCATCCCCTACGCGACGTCCCCGTTTTAAAAATACACATAATGTAGGGTATTCGACAGTTTTTCACAAACTGGAAGTCGCCATTTTGGTTTCCAAAATGACGTTAATCTTCGATTTTCGGCCTCTACACGTCATTCTCGTTCCGAAGATATTCATATTGTTTTACAGTTTTTCACAAACCGGAAGACGCCATCTTGATTTCAAAATGGTGTCAATAATCGATTTCCATACCCTACACTACGTCCCCGTTTCAAAAATACACATAATGTAGCGTATTCTACAGTTGTTCACAAACTGGAAGCGCCATTTTGGTTTCCAAAATGACGTTAATATTCGATTTTCGGGCTCTACACGTGGTCCTCGTTCCGAAGATATTAATATTGTTGGCTATTTGAAAGTTTTTCACAAACCGAAAGTCGCCATCTTGGATTCCAAAATGGCGCGAATCACCGATTTCCGGTTTCTACGTGTCGTCCCCGTTTAGAAAATACCCATATTGTAGGATATTCGACAGTTTTTCACAAACCGGAAGTCCGAAAATATATTCATAATATATTTCCGGTAATCCCACTAGAAGTACACTTCCAAGTTTGTTTTTTGGCTAAGTTCATTCCTCAGGAAACACTTAGAATGTTTGGTTCTTTAACAGCGTTATTAAAAAAAAAACGTGTTGTTTAAAAAAAAAACCGTGTAAAAAGGTGTTATTGTAAAGGTGTTCTTTTACAATGGATTGACATGCCTGAACATCGTTTGTGACACTTAAGTTGTCGTTTTACACAACATAAAATATTTGTTAACGCTTAAACAAATATGTGCGTTTAAACTCCTGGAATTGTTTACGTTGAGAGCAGTTCCACGCCAAATGATGAATCATAAAACTCGACCTTCTCCGATGTGCATGAATCTTTGCGTAATTGTTTGTTTCTGGTTATGATTCACATTTTTACTAAAATTGTACTAAAATAAACAATCAAGAGTAGTTGAGTTCATGTTCAACGATTTTTGTCAATTTTTAATTGTCCATGGTTTCAAACATCCCATCAATTTTGCATTTTTCATTAGCTTTTTTGAAAACAAATTTTAAAAAATCGGTGGGGATATTTTGAGTTTGGTTTGAAACATTTCTTTAACTTAAAATAAATATGAAATTATTTTGCTCTACAACTTTGTCTCAGACCTCATTTTGATCAGAAATGCCATTACCGTGCTACAAAAATTAAAAAAAAAGACGCTATTTAGAAAATTTAACAAACCCTAAATGGCCGAGTTTTAGAAAAAATATAAACATTACCCATAACAAACAATTACGCAAAGTTTAATACAAATCGAAGAAGGTCGATCCAAAAATTAATTTTTTATCAAAGTGATTAGACCGAATGTAGCTATTTATATGAAACCAGGAAAACTGTGATGGACAACCGCGAAAACCGGGAATTAAATTTCTTAATTTCAGTGGCAGTAAATTAAATTATCTAAGAGTATATTCAATAATTGATGCTATTAAATTCCTTCCTTAAAAAGTGATGTTAAAATCCCCGTCTCTCGGATTAAATCGTCAACCCTATTTCAGCAGAAGATTCTGAACACTTTAATAACATCCTTCCCATATTATCTATCGTTTCAGGCATCCTTCGCTCCACCACTAAACTTCCAACAGAGTCGTCCAAAGGCGATAACCGTTCAACCAATGCTCAAACTGGCATCACCGACCAGCAACTTCGTTGGGCCCCAGAGACCAACCACCGGAACACCCCTCTACGTCTCACCAGCCACGGCCTTAATGACCAAAGCAACATCCCTTCCCCTGGGCGTTCCCGCCTTCAAACCCCTCCCGAGAAAGAACCCCGAACCGGTGAGATACGATCCCACCATGATGCAGAAAAGTTTCTCCCTCAAAACTCCTCAAACTCCTGATCTTTCCTTCCAGAACCAGCTCATGAACCAAACCTCTTCCTTCCATCGCCCATCCCGAATTACCGCTGCCGGTGCCCCCAATCAGCACATAGTGTACAAGGATAACAACATCCACGTCCAGAAGGTACCTGCCTTCCACGCAATGCCCGAGTCCGTATCCCGTATCTCAACCGGACCAGTCATTCAAGTCGACAATAAACTGTCCGAACCCACGATCAAGAACTCCATCATGACGGTCCCATCGCGCAGCGACGTCACCAAAGGAACGACCGTCGTCGATGGAGTTGACCTGATGGGCCATACCGTCGAAGAACTGGCTGCTGCAGCGAATGTTAGCGTCGAAGTCATCAAGGAGGCCATCCGAGTACGTAAACAGGAACTCCTAGCCCAACAGCAGTACCAGAAACAGCAGTCCGCAATCGTCCAGGCTCAGATCATCGCTGCACAGCACGCCAAATCAACTACCACTACCACGACAACCACCACGACTACACCACGTCCACGACGGTATCCGACGCATAATGGGCACAAGGTGAGTCTAATAGGGGTTGATTTTAAGTTCTCTTGATCGGGACCAATTGCATTTTATAGGTTATGAACGCACCCAAAGAGTACTATCCGGTCGGGTACGATAAGAACTTTGACGACAACTTCACCTCCAAAGTCGATCTGCCGTACACGACGTTCAACTGTGGCGAGCAGAAGCACTTCCCCGGACTGTACGGCGACGAAGACTTGGGTTGTATGGTAAGTGGTTTCGATTTGATTAGTAGCGTAACATAGCATCGTAGGTGGTACGAGTTCAAGACTATATATTTCTACAATAGTCAATAATTTCCCTGGCCAAGTCCTAGGAACTGGTGGGGATAGAAAAGGAATGCTAGTCAAACATTTACTTAAGAGATATGCAGAGAACTCTACGACCCACGGGAATTTACGGGCACAAAACGTAGTGACGGTTTCGATTGGATTAAATACTTAATACACATTGCCCCCAGATTGGATAACCTTTTTGGTTTATAATGACGTTAGATCTAGATAATTAATCATGTGCATCAAATTAACTTTACTTGTGTGTTTGCACTTCGGTTCGCGATGACCTTCTTCTGGTTGGTCGAAAGTCATTATGGTCAAACAAAAACCACGGCTAATGGTTTTGATTTGATTTGGTTTGGTAGATATTGTTTAGCCTGATGATCAAAGTATTCCTTTTCTGTAGATGTTAGCAAGCACCTTCGTCGTACCGTTGTGATTGATCAAAATAAACAGTAGAGGACAGATGAGTAGGACTGTTGACGGTCTTTACGCCAAACGTCATTAGGCCAAATTTCGGTTAATGAACACTTTACATCTATAAAAGAAAAATTGCTGGTCTGAGGAAGAGAACGAGCAAGCAGCGAATAAGGCTATCCGCTATAAAAATATAAATCCGTAGGAGATAGCATAACTTCTACATACCGTAAGACGGGGTGACATTGGGCCAAAATTTAAAAATGCTTATTGATGCAAATATCTTGAATATACAGGAAAATGGTTACTAGAATATGTTTCTTGAACTCCTAGAGTAAACTGTTGATAACATTAAGCAGTTGTTTTATTTAAATAGTGCTGTAAAATTAAGTGTCATAAATAGTAGCAAAAGTGCGTTTTTTCAAATGCCCACAGGCAAACAAAAGTTTGATCACCCTTTTATGCCGATAGACGAGGATTACACGTGATCTTTAGCCATACATACGTAGTACATTGTGATCATAGCCATGTGTACTCCTAATAGCTACGATACATTTGAAAATCGCAGAAGGTCGTGTCCGATCGATTCGTCAGTTGACGTGGAAATGCTCAACTACGGTCCACATAAAAGGTCCTATGGCTTACATGGATTTTTTTTTCTGGGAAGCACACCAACGGTCTTTGCGTATAACCAAACTAGCAAACCTGCATGTTCCAATTTCAGTTCGTAGTTCAAATCCGCAAGGCACACGCAAGGACGGTTCTGATGGCGAGCATTCATTAAACTGAACTCACCGAACGACGAGGGGTTCGGAGTTTTTCGCCACCCCAAAACAAAGGCATTATGAAATTCCTAAACTGCATTCGAATCCTGACGAAAGGGCAATGGTGCGCGCACATCACCACATCGCTCCGGGATATCGGTGGATGATATTGCTGACACATCATCGTTCAGCCAAAACAGTTCAACATTCAGTTTGGAGGAAAGCTGTAAACATCAACCCCGAAAATGGGGAAAACCACACCATCGGAATCGAGGTGGAGCGGAAGTGCGAGATGGGTTATGGGCGGGTTCCATTCTAATAAAGCAGCCATCCACGGCCGAGCGAACGGCAACTTTGCAGACCGAGGGACGACGACGATGATGCAGGGCTGCTGTTGTTCAAACATTTTGCTAACAACCATCAACCGATCGGACCACGTGTTTCGCAGTAGGTTTATGGGTAACGAATATTGCAACTATAGGACCGGGATCCGAACGTACCTAACCTAGAATCCATTCAATAGAAAAGCCACTCAGTTGTGAAAATATTGCATCTGGAGTACGCATTGATTACGTACGCTGCTGGTGGTTTATTCGTTGGTGAAACGGTTGATGTTTGTCGTGAGAGTGGTTGTTTTCTGTATTTTTTTGAAATCTCATTAAATTAATTAAATTTGTTTATTAATTTACTGATTTGAAAGCAATGTACCAAGCTCACTTGTTGAAAAACTTTATAACCGTTCTGCAAGATTCTTGAACGTTAATCGTATATGTTTTTCAGAACCACCCTGATTTAAAATGCAATCATGTAAATATTTCGATGAAACCATTTCTGGCTGAAGGATCGTGGCATCCTACGTATCTTTTGGATAGTTGGGACCTATAGCAACGCACCGCTTGTTGTTCTGTCTAGTAAGCACGATGCGTCGCAACACACATCCCAAATTGGATCAACGGTGGCCTGTTTTTCGATTAGTCTCGCATCAATTTCAACATCCGGCCCAGTTTAGCAATCAACAGGCATTTCCGGTATGCTTCAATCAAGGAATGGCTGATTTTGGATCGGCAAAATGCAGCCTCAGGTTGAAATGATTTATCAAATAACGGGAAATTGAAATCTCTTTGCAATCTTTCAGCTGGTTGGAATAATTGCACCGGGATATGATCATTGCGTATGCTTGATTCTTAATTGATTTGGTTTGGTCGTAGGCCTAAAGTGACGTAAATCATGATGGAGGCCTGGCCCGGTCGAAGATATCTTAGGGTTGAAACTTGCTTGCCACACAATAGTACACCAATCACAAGTGATCACTTAACAATTTTACGTAATATATAATCTATGGGTGCTATTTCCAACATGGGTGCAACATTTTTAGCAGGCAGGTATGGCTTTCGTCAACCTAAACAAGTACGCCAATTTCACAAGATTTCCACATTAAGGCACTTTGATTTCTTGGGGTATGAATATTAAAGGGTGTGACGATCAAAATTTGGACGACTTAAACTTGACACATTTTTTTTTGTATCGATCTTTTAAAAACCTGAACACCCCTCATTTTGTGGGTTCGGCGTGCAGAATGATGCCTCTATTTTGATTTTGACATTTGCTCTTCAGTTATCAAAATTTTGCACGCGCATTGCTAAAATCCGGGCTACTCGCACTTCAAACAGCTTCCTGGGCAGGAGTTTTATATGGCAACCGGAAGGGGAAAGGTGGTAAATATTTTCAAGCATTTGAAACTGTCAAAGTTTGCTAAGAAATACCTGGTTTGGCATGCTATCTGTACCTGTGGCATGAAAAGCGACATTTTCATTGTAATCCGGACCGTCAAACAGGAAATTTACGTGAACGAGTGTCTGAAAAAACGTCAGCTGCCTTTCCTGAAGCAACACAATTGTTCCGTGCTGTTTCGGCCGGATTTGGCATCCTTCTATTACGGAAAAAAGGCCATGGAGTGGTATGCTGCCCAAGGACAAGAACCCTTCCAACACGTCAGAGCTCCACCCAATTGAAAAATATTGGGCCGCCGTCAAGCGGAACCTGAAGAAGACCCAAAAAACTGTTGGAAGCGAGAAGCAGTTTAAGGCAAACTGGCGTTCTACGGCGAACAAACTGGACGTGGTGGCTGTAGTTAAACGGCAATTTGGATTTGGTCTATCAGTGGTAGAAAAATTTATTATGATACATTTAATCAATTTACACGCATTCTTGTTTGACCAAATTTTGATCGTAACACCCTTTAATTTGATTAGTTTTTTTTTCAAGTGAAAATAAAATCAGGCTTGCACTTAGTATATACCATTTAGCCCTCTGGACCTAGGAACGAAACTGGGTTTTCCATGCGGAATGTATACCCTGCTTTGTAAGAAGGGTAAACATTAAATTAGAAGTGAAATTGCGGCTCTGCGCAGTGCACTATGCAGAATCTCCATACAAGGAGATGGCCAAAACTGTGTTCTTGTTCATTTGGTACTGTTTGGTATGTTTTGTGTTAGTATGTGTCTAAATTTATCATTAAACTTCTTTTTTTCGATCCTGAGGTATTCTAGGTTCTCCAAAATGTCATGGAGTTAAGATCTTGATGTCCTGTTGACTCATTGTGGTTTGATACGCACGTTTCCGACGTATTCAACACATCATCAGAGCCCTAAAAAGCTATACGATGACAATTTCATTCCATTCCAATCAGGCTAAGGCCTTGTTGTCCTCTGCTGTCCGAAGAAGTCGTCTCCACGCTACTCCATGGCCACAGTTCGCCAGCCTCGTAGTCTGCGAAGGGTTCGCAGGTCACCTTCTACTTGGTCGATCCACCTTGCCCGCTGCGCGCCTCTTCTTCTTGTTCCTGTTGGGTCGCTTTCTAGAACCATTTTCACTGGGTCGTCGTGCGGCATTCTTACGACGTGCCCAGTCCACCGTAGTCGCCCAATTTTTGCAATGTGGACGCTGGATGGCTCTCCCAGCAGCTGGTGCAATTCGTGGTTCATTCGCCTCCTCCACGTTCCGTCATCTATCTGCACTCCACCGTAGATGGTACGCAACACCTTCCGTTCGAAAACATTAAGGGCGTGTTGGTCCTCCACGAACATAGTGCAGATCTCGTGGCCGTAGACAGTCAACTTCGTGCGACTGGGAATTTTATTCAACCGGAGCGTCCTCCGGAATTCACGATTCCCTGCCATAATGCGTCTTTGAATTTCTCTGCTGGTATCATTTTCGGCGGTCACCAGTGAGCCCCAATACACGAACTCATCGACCACCTCGATTTCGTCACCGTCAATCTGAATTCGGGGTGGGAGGCTAACATTGTCTTCCCTAGAACCTCTTCCTTTCATGTATTTTATCTTTGAGGCGTTGATGGCAAGTCCAATCCGCCTAGCTTCAGCCTCTGATGTACGTTTCCGTCATCGTCTCAAAGTTCCGTGCCATGATGTCAATGTCATCGGCGAAGCCAAGAAGCTGAAGATCGTGCCACTCGTGTCTATCCCAGCTCTTCTGATCACACCTTCTAACGCGATGTTGAATAGCAGACACGAAAGTCCATAATCTTGCCGTAACCCCCTTCGAGATTCAAAGGGACTCGAGACCGTCCCCGATACTTGAACAACGCACATCACTCGATCCATCGTCGCCTTGACTAATCGTGTCAGTTTATCCGGAAATCCGTACTCGTGCATAATCTGTCATAGCTGATCTCGATCGATTGTGTCGTATGCGGATTTGAAATCGATGAACAAATGATGTGTGGGTACATTGTATTCACGGCATTTCTACAGAAGCCGCCGAATCGCGAAAATTTGGTCCGTGGTAGCGCGGGCACCCATGAATCCCGCCTGGTATTGCCCCACGATCTCTCTTGCAAATGGTGACAGGCGGCGCCATAGAATTCGGGAGAGTACCTTGTAGGCAGTGTGATCGCGCGGTAGTTGCAGCAATCCAACTTGTCGCCCTTTTTGTAGATTGGGCATACGACACCTTCCATCCACTCCTCCGGTAATATCTCCTCCTCCCAAATCTTGGCAATTACCCAGTGCAGCGCTCTAGCCAGTGCTTCACCACCGTATTTTAATATCTCACTTGGTAGTTGGTCTACGCCAGTTGCTTTGTTGTTCTTCAGCCGACCGATCTTCTCCTCAATTTCTTGAAGATCAGGGGCCGGTAGCCTGTCGTCCTCTGCGCGTGCTCCAAGGTTTGTTGCCGTGCCACCTTCGTTTTCTGCTGCTTCACCGTTGAGGTGCTCGTCATAGTACTGCTTCCATATCTCAATCACCTCACTCTCGTTCGTGAGAAGGTTACCGTCCAAGTCCTTGCACATATCGGCTTGCGGCACTTAGCCTTTGCGCGAACTATTTAGCTTCTCGTAGAACTTCCGTGTGTCGTTTACGCGGTACAGATTTTCCATCGCCTCGCGATCTCGGTCTTCCTGCTGACGCTTCTTCCTTCGGAAAACCGAGTTTTGTCTGTTCCGCGCTTGTCTGTATCGCTTCACATTCAATCTCGTGCGGTGTTGCAGCATTCTCGCCCGTGCTGCATTCTTCTCCTCTACTAACAGTTTGCATTCGCTGTCAAACCAGTCATTTCTTCGTTCCAGGATTGCAGTACCTAGTGCCGCTACAGCAGTACTACCTATGGCGGAACGGCTGTCCCTCCAGCCATCTTCAAAAGAAGCTGCGCCAAGCTGCACCAAGCTGCTCTTCCGTGGCTAGTGCAACTTCCAGCTGCTGCGCGTAGTCCTAGGCAACTCCGGCGTCCCGTAGTGGCTCAATGTTGGGTCGTGGTGTTCGACTTCCACGGGTGTTATGTACCGTTGAGAGTTTTGAGCGCATGCATACTGCAACTAGGTAGTGATCCCAATCTATGTGCACTGCGGTACGTGCGGACGTTGATAATGTCGGAGAAGAATTTCCCGTCGATTAGAACGTGATCGATTTGGTTTTCTGTGTGTTGGTCAGGTGATCTCCAGGTGGCTTTGTGGATATCCTTGCGGGGGAAAACGGTACTTCGAACTACCATACTCCGAGAGGCTGCAAAGTTCACGCATCGTTGGCCGTTGTCATTCGATACGGCATGCAGGCTGTTTGGCCCGACCTACCTGAGCGTTCAGAACGCTTCTTTCTCGTCGTCGGGTCTCCCTTCGTGTGAGCAGTGCACGTTGATGACGCTGTAGTTGAAGAAACGTACCTTAATCCTCAACTTGCACGCGTTGGCGCATCTTACCTAGCACTACAAAGCCCGTTCCCAGCTCGTTGGTAGTGCCACAGCTCTGGTAGAAAGTAGCCGCTCGATGCCCGCTTTTCCATACATTTTGTCCCGTCCAGCAAAGTTCCTGCAGTGCTACGACTTCGAAGTTGCGTGGTTGAAGTTCGTCATAGATTAACCTATCGCAGCCCGGGAAGCCGATCGATTTGCAGTTCCATGTTCCGAGTTTCTGTGCCGATTTTTCCGATCCGTATTTCTTTCTTCAGTATTTGCAACTTTATGTTTTTTTTCTCCAGGGCGGCTTGTTGGGCCTGCCCCAACCCCCTGTCTCGCCGGGGGACAGCTCTGTTTAGAGTCCCACTCTGGCACTAGGACGGTGATCATCAGCAGACGCTCGGGTTTGGTGAAGCATTTCCTCTATCACCGTACTATGATTACCGCGCCAGTGTTCGCGTCGCACCTCTTTACTTTGCCATTGCCAGACTGGCAACATTGCCCAGGCTACGCCACCCAGCTGTGTCCATGTTTCAGCTGGTAGTCTTTTGTTATCATATGACTCGGGGAGGCGTGAAGTAGGAACTTGTGAGGGGCTAGGTATGCCGCTCCTTCCAGGTTGTCAACTCACCATTTTGTAGCCCAAATACGATGACAAGCGCGCCTTAAAATGGTTGCAAGAAGATACTCAATGCCCGCCAAACCATTCTGGAGCTAAGATCATGAGGTTATATAGGTCAATGTCCTGAAAATCAATATGAGTCCAAGAAGTTCAAGATAGCCAGTCATGGAATGATATCAATAAGATATTTTATGCTCTCAAAAGTACTCTTGAAGATCTACAGACTCAATGAAGTGTTGAACAATGTCCTGAATTTTTTTCTTTTTAGTGCGGGAAGTTCATGTCAGCATGCGAATGGTTTCAAAAAGATATTTAATGCTCTTCAAAATATTCTGGAGTTAAGATCTTGAAGATCTAGAGGCTCAATCAAGTCCTGAACATTGTGGTAAGAGCCGTTATGAGTTCGTAAAGTTCAAGTGAGCCTTCTGTCAACATACACATCATCGGATGGCTTCAATAAGATATTTAATGCTCTTCAAAGTATTCTGGAGGTATGATTTTGAAGATTGACAGGCTAAATGGCATCTTGAACAATTTCCTGGAAATCTTTATGAGTCTAGAAAGTTTACGGAAGCCGTTTGACAACATTCCTCTCATATAATGAGATATTTGATGCTCTTCAAACTATTGTGGAGTCAAGATCTTGAAATTGTATAGATCAATAATGTGTTGAACAATGTTATAATTTACATTGTGAGTACGTGAATTGCCTTCTGAAAACATGCACAAAATCGAATGGCTTCAATAAGATATTAAATACTTTCCAAACAATTCTAATTTCAAATGTCTACAGGCTCAAAGTAGTTTTGAAGCATTTCCTGATAATCTTTATTTGTTTGTTAAGCTCAATAGAGCCTATTGGCATCATGGAATGGTAGAAATAAGGAGCTGTCCATATGGACAGTTTAGGGAGCGGGAAGAAGGGTTTGAGCACCCACCGTTCATACAAATTTTTCGAATTGTATATGGACTGTTGAATAGAAGAAGCGAGACCAAAAATCTCTAAACAGCTGTCCACAACAGCCTCTTAGATACTCACTGCTTTTCAAACTATATTATTTGGCGTGGAAACGCTCTATTTGTTTGCTTTGTAAAATCGATCTAATTTTCAATTTTCTTCCCGTTTTTGTCCTCCAGGTCTTCCACGTGTGTGCCCTTACTGATGACGGGTTGATCATGAAGTCGTTCCTCTGCCCGGAGAGCACCCTGTTCGACCAGACGATCCTCAAGTGCAACTGGTGGTTCTACGTCGACTGCAAGAACAGCAAGGGCCTGTACGACTCCAACTTACCGGTGTCGAAAAGCTACCAACTGATGAAGGCCCTGTCGTTCTTCTCGACCAACTACAAGAATCCCCAGAACGTGGACGGAGTCGATGTGGAAGCGTTGAAGAACAGCGTCTCAGCTACCGCTGACCAAAACAGCACAACGCCGCTGACGGGTCGATCATCGAAAGCTTCCGCCTCTTCCGGGGTGGAAATCAGTAGCAAATCTTCCTCGACGATACAGTCCACGGCCACGACCAAGGCGTAGGCTGGCTCATGGATATGCCACTTACCTATAGGTTATGTTATACAAAAGTAGGAAGATTGAATTGTTTTCTGTTTTCCCTTTTCGGTGGGGTACTCGAGATAAGGAAAGCTAACACTTCTGGGCTGGAACTGATGAGAATAATGGTGAGGAAGGTTGAATATTCCCTTAGGAAAGTTATTTATTATAATTTCTTCGCAAAAAAAACTTTCGCTCACCGTTTCTCTCCCTCGCCAACAAAGCCAACGAGTTACATTCTGTTTCGTGTTCCTTAAAATGTGTACTTCATTTTAGAAATAAGAATGCGGGAAGGGGGCTGAACGAAGGAAGTCATATCTTTAAAAAGAATAAGAAAAATAGTTGCTAAATCTAATTTTACTGAGCAAAGGGAAACGGGAACAGTGTGAGCCCGCAGCAGCAATAAAGGGAAAACATTTTCATCTTTTCCCCCACTGCGGACAGTTGGCAATGAGGAATGTGCTGGCCGCGTAGACTCGCTTGTTGCTACTGTTTCTCTTTGCGAATGATTTTGCTCAACCTAGGTGCGTATGCAGAAGGAAGATTCAAACAACTACAGCAGCAGCAACAACAACGTTGATAACGTCCGTTTCGAGGGATTTCAAGCCTGGTCTGAAGGCTTATAGTGTCTGTTTGTGCACTGAAAACGAACCTTCGTCAGAGAGTGAGTCACTTTTACTCATCCGGATGGAGAAATTTCAAAAAAGCATGGGTTACTCATGCGCTGAGTGACCTACGTTTTTTCGAAATATCTTCATACGAATGAGTAAAAGTGACTCACAACGGAGTAAAAGTGACTCACTCTCTCAGTTAGTTTCGTTTTTAGTGCAGAAAGATGAAACATAATCTCCTGGGAGGTATACTTTCCGCGTAGCGCGGTGGTATCAAAGTGGGATATTTACTGGCAGGCTTTTCACTGCTATATAAGAGGATTTAGGGTAACTATACCACTTTTGGTCGCCTCGATAGCGTAGTCAGTTTCATTTCGCATTTTTCGCAAACATGCCTAACATGTAAAAATGGTATAATTGTTTTCTAATGTAATCTGGGAGCCTCTTGAAATTTCCCTCGAAACGAAATTATCGAACATTACAACCTAGTACTAAAAGAGATTATTACAAACTAATTAGTAGCATTGCCGCGGGTCTTTTATCTTCTCAGTTTCAATGGAACCAAATCGGCAGCAAAGCAAAAATTATCAAATAACTCCCAAGTGAATTATTGTCAGTGCAAGACAGAGAACGAAACTAACAAGTTGTGTCAAATTTACACACATCAAACTGCCAAAATAATTCTTACGAATACTTAAATTCATTTGTGTACTTGTTATAGATTGGTTTAAGCATATTTATTACCTATTTTATTAGCGACTTGTAGAAGAGAAACACAAATGGCGAAACACTACACTAAACCACAAGAGGGTAGGGTTTCGCGCTCGAAAGACTTTTCTATACTATATTTACAAACGGTTGATAATACTTTACGGATTGTACGCAATTTGTTGACGTATTTACTTCCTGATATGGGTATATGTTATTAGGTTCGTTCCGATATAGCGTCTATTTTTAATTGATAGGAAATACAAATGAAAATCTCTCGGGTATATGGAAGCTGGTTTAGTTCAGCCACTTATTTGTTTTAAGGGAGTTAGTCGGTGAATTTGTCAAAAGTTATGGTAGATACGGAGAAGCCCTGTTTAGCGATGTACTCTGATAGTGAAATCGTAAGCACACCTAAAATTTGCTCATTGTTTTTTTTTTCTTAGAACCATGCATAAGCAAATCAAAATCTGTTAGCAACGTTGCATTTTATTGCTCTCACAAATAAAAAAACATCACATAAATTCAAAACCAACAAAGGTGGTTCATTTACCACAAACAAAAACAAAACACACACACACACAAACCAGTAAGTCTATGTGAAGCTAGCAGTTACTAGTAGTCAGATGCAAACCAGTGAAAGCGAAAATCTAAACATTCCGAAAATCTTGTGAAAGGAATAAAAAATACAAAAAATGTCGCAAAATAAATTGTCTTTTGCTTTTTCTATCGCCCGTCGTACAGCTCTCAGACAACCTTAGAGTGCGACAACCGTGTTTCATATTGAACCAGGGCGATGCCTCCGAAATCCTGATGCGTACGACGTCGTCGTCCGGAAAGCTCTGCTCTGCCGTGGCTGGTGGCGATAAGCCCTAGTCCAAATCTTTCCATTGCACCTGACTGGTTCTAATCTACCGAAGAAGGAAAAAACATTTTGCATTGATAGAAAACATCCGGTGCATAATTTGATACGTGATGGACCTAACGTAACGTAATATCTCCCATTTCCTACTAGAATTGCAACGCCTCGCCGGGAATTTGATTATGATTTCTCGCATCGCCATGTGTGTCATGAACCAGATTAATGAACTAAATTCGAAAAATACTCACGCTCCGGACTACTATGTCTAATAGGGTGGTTCAAAATATCGATTTTGCTCCACCAAGCTCAACCGGTTTCAAATCAGGTCCTGATCATTCTCCCAAATTTTGAGCGCATTTGGATGGGAGCTCATACTGCACAGACCCTTTGAAGTTTATATGGAAAATAATTGAACTTTTAGTTCTCATCCTTCTAGCCCTTCGCCTGGAAAAGTTTTCTATCTGTACTATTGTGAAATTTCCCCAGCTACAAGTATGGTGGCGCCCGCATTTCAATTGATCGTCAGGATATTTAGTTAATGATTAATTAGGAGGATGACTTTCTTATCGCATGCTCTATAAACTGCTCAGCAGGTAATATTGGTGTGCTTGGCACCAATAATAGGGCAAACATATCCAGGCTACTCAGTGTTCACTCGTCTGTCGACAGAAGCAGACCACTCTCAATGTGTGTCACGCGATCGTCTGTTTACTCGGCAGCAACAATTGTGTGGTCTTCTTCATTGTTCTTCTTCAGCAGTTCTTTCAGTCGATGCGTCGTCGACTTTGGAAAGCAACCGTTTCGTGATGAGTGTGTGAGTGCTGACCACGTTTTGCGTCTATTGCTGCAATGGAAGCGCTCTGACTCCCGTTGGCGAATCTGGCATACAATGAAACTACTGGAAGCGGCTCCCGTTTTGGTGGAGGAGGCTTATTGGATAGCGAAAGGTAAAATATTTATTGTGTTATAGTTTTAAGATGTATTGTATAGTGAACAAGAATCGTCGGCTCTGTAAAGGTAATTCGGTTGAGCCTTATCAAATATCAAATAAATTAATAATATCCAGGCTACTAAGGCATAAGTGTCTAATCAAAAAGTGGTCTCCAGCAAAGTTGTAGCTTAAACCATTATGGCGAAGGGCTTGGACGTTGAGAACAACAAGTTTACTTTTCCTATAAACACTTCAAATAGTCAGTGCAGTATGGGTTCGCATCCAAATAAACTCAAAATGCTGGAGAATGATCGGGACCTGATTTAGAATCGATTTAGCTTCGTGGAGCAAAATCAATATTCTGAACCACCCTAATGTCTATGTAGGTTTTCGGGGCATTGTCTCGGAGTGATTTTTGTTTTTTATTTTCCATAGACAAGAACAAGCGAAAATACGGGATGATTAAGATGTTCGTTTGACCTCATGGGCTGCTTTATTATCAGCGAACGTAGCTCGGATCTTGGACAAGTTCAAGATTTTTTGTTATTCGAGTGAAATTCATTGAGAAAGGTGATTGCCATCAACTGGGTGTATTATTATAGAAATTAGCTTATGATGATTTGCATATTACAACTGGAACCGTGTAACAAATTAACGGTTGACTGGACTTTTGTTCTACACCCATTAATTGTATGCCATCCAATCAGGAAAAATCCTCGCACAGTTTTCCTGGCGGTGGTCGTGCACCTCGATCCTCTAGCCGACATAGCTTGTTCGCTAATCGATCTCCACTTTAGCTGCAGCTCTGTCAGTATTTGTAGTACAGTTCTACTCACGGGATTGCACAAGCCTTCGTCTCTACACTCATGTACAACATTGTCTGTGTTGATGATTAACCCGCTTTGCACTGCCTCAAATCTTGGACAGTCGAAAACCACGTTTCTACACTCCGGACAGAGGGATGACCTTACGTTTCCGAACCGATGCAGGTACTTCCTGAAGCAACCGTGGCCGGACCGCAATTGCATCAATTGCTTTCTGTTCAACCTCGATATAACCAGGGTATGGATAGACTTGTCTGCTGTCAGCTCGCCATAAAACTTAACAGTACTTATTTTTTTCTGATATTGGCTCTTCAGTTCAACGCTACAATGTGTTATGGTCAACGTTTCGGTCTTTGGACTTGGCCTTCTTCAGGCGATATAAAGTTGCGCCGTTTTTCATTCAGCTCAAACATCTTAAACTTACCTAGCTCTGATAAGAGACGAACCAGCCGAAGGCAGACAGTCTCTCTAAAAAAGAAAGCTCTTTACCTATGAAGCCATGACAAAGATCCCAAGCCTTGGAACAAACGGTGACGATTATAAAACTGTAATCAACACTTTTTCTTGAAGACTGAAATACTGAAATAAAAAGACTGATTCTTCAAGATCATTCGACTTCCCTGAAAGTATAGACTTTTCTGAAGATTTCTGAGCTTCCCTGAAGAAATTGGGTCACCATAAAGATCTCTGAACTTCCCTGTATTTCTCAGAGCTTTTTAAAAGCTCCCGCAATTTTCCAGAAAATAATTAAACTGCCCGGAAGTTCTTTGATCTATTCTGCAATTTTCCTAATGTTTGCAATGCTTCCTTAATGCTCATGAAACATCCATTAAAGTCTTGAAAAATTACAGAAATTTTTGGATCATTCCTGAAATTGTTTGGAACTTCTGAAAAAAATCCTGCAATTAAGTAATGGCACTACTCTAAAGTTCTCTGATCTTCCTCAAAATACTTGGTACCCGGGCGTCGCAATATCAGCTTCAATCGACAAAATCAATGCGAAGAAGAGACTGCTAGCTTTCTTTATCTGTTGAAGTCAAGCAGCATCGCAGCATTCTAACACCTCAGTCGGCGTCTACAAATAAATAGATCGATTCTCTTTCTCCCATCGCACCTTTTGTTCTTCTTTCAAGCTTCGGTGAAGCGGACGAGTGAAAGAGCGCTCGATTTGGTAGTTTCGTCTTTCACTTGGTCTTTCATGAAACAAATCAACCGAGGTTTCACGACGTTTATGACGGAAAATGAAAATGTATATTTAAAGCATTTCTCAAGTGAAAACACTTTAAGGTTACACATAATATGTCTAATTTATCTTCCTTCAACATATTTATCTAAAAAAAAAAGAGTAACGAAAACCGGACATAACGCATATTAAACAAATTGACAGAGCCGGTGAAAGGGATTGATAGTCATAATGAGGCTTCGTTTCAACTTGAAAATTGACGATACTTTCATTGAATGGGGTGAGCAAAACGACGACGAGAATATCCACAGCCTGCCTTTCGTTCAAAGCGTGCTTCTTTTTCATTTTTATTTCGTGCTACAGTCTAGCTGAGCGTTATATAAATGATGCGTTAAACACGTTGTATACAAGAAAAAAAAAACTCGAGTTCATGTAGAGCCCTGTTTGGAACATTCATTAAAATAAAGAAACAGCTTAAGAATCTTTAAACCTGAAGATGTCGAGCTTTGCTGAGGTTTTTGGAAACTCCCTTTCTTGGAACATCTGTGAAGTTCCTGTAATTTCCTAGAGTTTAATTGGACTGCTTTGAGGTCTCCCGATGTTCTCGAAGCCACCATGAAGCTCTCACAATTTTCCTGAAGTTATTGGAACATCCCAAAAATTAATAAAACTATGATAAAAATCTGTTAACTTCCATGCAAATCTCTGGACTTCTGTAAAGTTCCTAAAATATGTCTAATTTTTTTTTCAATAATGTTCAGCAAATCTCTGGACTTTCCTGAAATTCGTGAAACTTCTTAAAGAGTCTCAAATTTGGCTAACATTCAATTTATCGAAACAAATCATCAAAAATAATTGAATTGCCCGAAAGTCTGGTAATTGCTGAAGTTAGAGTAAAGTGGGGCAAGAGTACGCATTTAATAATTCTTCTCAAACGTCTATTTTAAGAGAATTAAACAAATCAAAATTGGACGAGCATATTATGTTAATGACCTCATCTGTTTGGTTTGTTCAAGTGTTGAAAGTTAGTGATGATTTAATGTAAGTAATGTAAATGTAATGTGATGTAATTTATATATTCAGTAATATTATTGCACAAAAAACAGGTTCTATCATCATTTTTCGAAACCGAAACGATGTGTCCACCACTCAAGCCATTCGTACACTTACCCCACTCGAAGTCAATAATGAAAAGGGTCTCCCATACATTACGTCTTTCCAATATCGTCTGTTGTGTTATACATACCATAACATACCTATCATATAGATCAACCATAATACTGGAATACTAAGGTTATAATCTTCATCCATGATGTCATAATACCGTTTCCAAAAAATTGTAATTGTCAAAATGCAAAAATCGAAAAAAAATACATACTTGTGGTGATAACCTTTAGGTTGATTATTCAAAATACACAATATTTTTTGAATACGCCTGTATTCAGTAGAGGCTTCAATCCTACTCATAATCATTGGTAAATCATTTCGTTTACCTGCCTTTCGAACCAGTGCGTACTTTTGCCCGAGGGGGGCGACACATCTAAATCTCAATTCTAGATGCTCAACAAATCTCACACTAGCGAATCAAACTTCGAAAAATCTTTTTTCATTTATAGCATCTACTTGCATCGCGCATCATCTTTTTGCAGGAAATCTTCAAAATCGTCAACAATTTTCTTCATATCTATTCAGCGTGCGCGCAGCTAA